AAATCCAACCTAAAAGAGATTGAACCTGCCCTAATAATAGGCCTCTACTTTATTCTGATCGTATTCATGTGCGCTTTTTAATTAACATACAATTAATAGATTAACCCTAAACCTGTTGAATCTATGTTGGTTGAATATTAATGCATAAATAAATCTATTATTGGCGATCACTTGAATTATAATCACAATTAACCCTAAACAAGATTATTAATTATCTTATTAAGCATGATTACAAGTACCAAATTCCTTTTAAACATGCATAAAAGGCGTGATCAAGCAATAACAACGAAATCAAGCAACATAATAATGAACCAATATCATGAATAACGATTATAATAGCAATCATGTTAATAATCATGATAATAATAGCAATAATTATAATCATAATCATCATAAATAAAATAACCATCATCTAAATAATAATCATCATAAATTATAACAATTATAATCATAATCATGTTCATGTTAATATTAAAACATAATAATAGCAAGATCCTAGGCATGATACTAACAAGATTAATAACAAACTCTAGCATGTCACTAAGCAATAAAAATCAAATCTTTAACCCTAACATGATACTAACATGAATAAATATTAGGAAGAACATAGGAAGCATCGTAACAATCACATTTAATATTAAAATTACCCTAGACATGATACTAGGAATATCATAATAACAATTTAAACATGATTTCTACATCATAACATCAAAAAATCATTAAAGTACTTGCTTTGATGCCTCATACCTCTTTCTAATAACAAAATACACACGTTAGTAACTTCAAGGAAAATAATAAACAAAATAATTAAAATAAATAATTGAAAGAGAGATTTGGGACCAAACCCTCAGAAATTAAAACCTTTCACGTCTAGGGCGAAGACAACTTTGAATATGGCTAGGTGTTTCTAGATCTTGCGAATGCGGAATTTTGTATGTAAAAACAAATTTTAGAAAAAGAAAGGAGAGATGAGTGAATTAAGAGAGAATTAGAGAATTAATGATTGCGAATGAAAACTGATTGTTGATCAAAATTGGTGAGAATTGGTGATGATTGAAAACTGATTGTAGGTGAATGTAGATTATAAGTGATGAATGAAAACGGAGTTTTTAATACGATATTTATAAAGAAAATCAGCCAAAAAGATAAATTAAACAAAACAGAGTCTAACGCATAAAAAACAGAGCTGGCGCCAACCCTGGCTAGCTGGCGCCAGGCACCAACACTAGCGCCAAGCGCCAATGGCTAGCGCCAGTCGCCAGGCCTGGTTCCAGGCGCCAAGGCCTGGGGTCAGACGCCAAGCTTAAATTTAACGCGTTTTCAAAAATCAGATAAGTTTGCCGTACTGGAGGATAAAATCATATAATTTCCTCGAAAATGCTATTTGATTTTGATTAAAACTTTGAAAAGTCAACAAAAGTCAATTTATCAATGCTAATTGAATTAGAAATGAAAATAACCTTCTAGAAGACTAAATCCATTCCTAATTGCATTAGGAATGATAAATCATATTAGGCCCTCCCCGTATATAAAGCTCAAACCGGGCCCAGTTTAGTAAATTGGCCATAACTTCCTCAATATTCATCGGAATTGGGCTTATAATATATCAATGGAAAGGTCTTTGCAAGCCCCATCCAACTACACTACTATTGGACCCATATCATGGATCAACCAAACTGGATTGGCTGTTTTCTTAAAAATAAGTTTTCAAAAACAGAGAGAAGAGAAAAGAATTAAAACTATCCGCAACACTAGACTTTCCACACTTTCGCTTCATTCGATTATGATTCGATGTGAAAGGTACTCATCACTGGGTTTGGTTTTGGGGAGACTCAAATGGGTGTCTACAACTAGCCTCAGTAGGAAGTATGTAGCTGCTGGTATCATTAAAAACGTGTTAGATTATAAGGGGTATTCTCAGAAAGTCTTTAACAAAGCAAGCAGTGTGATTCCTTGTTCTGCTTCAAGGTTGATATGCCTTCCTGTGGGCAGACCTGGAAAATGGGTCATTCGGGTTGGGTATGGGTCGGGTCATTTCGGCTTGGGTCAAGTTCGAGTCAAAAGGTTATCGGGTCAAGTTCGGGTCGGGTCGGGTCATTTCGGGTTTCGGGTTGATTTTGGGTCGACGATAATCGGGTCGGGTCGGGTATCGGGTCAACACTTTGGGTCGAGTTCGGGTCGGGTCAATTTTCGGGTGAGCTTCGAGTCGAGTCAACTTCGAGTCGAGTCATATTCGGGTGATTCATTGGGTTAAACTCAACTATATATATAGGCGAAAAACTCACTATATTTATTAAGGCTATTTTTTTCATAGAATATAGTAATTGTTTTACTTATATTAACCCCCCCCCCCCTTTTTTTTTTTTTTTTTTTTTTTGTGTGTGTGTGTGTTTAGATTGAGAATCACTTTCAGGATCTCTTGAAACTAAGAGGGATTCTCTAACTAATTGAGTTATACCTCACTCTCTTATTGATCTTAGTTTTAATACGTACTCTTATTATCATTGTCATTGTTGTAATAATTTCTTTGAATTATTCTTATACTCTCTCCGCCCCGAATTACTCTTAACGATTTGACATTTTGCACTATTTACACATATCACTTTGACCGTTTTTTTAGCTATTATATGAAAGTCAATGTAGTCATTTAAGATGTTGTTGGGTCTATTTTAATGTATAATTTCCTAATATAAACTTTTTATAACTTATACAATTATTTAATAAAAGAAGTTAAAGGTCGGGTCATTTTCGAGTCTCGGGTCAACTTCAGGTCGAGTCGTTTCGGGTCTCGGGTCAACTTCGGGTCGGGTCATCTCGGGTCGGGTCGTTTCGGGTTGGGTCATTTTGGGTTTTGGGTCAAGGTTGGGTCGGTTCCACTTCAGGTCGGGTATGGGTCGGGTCGGGTTAATTCGGGTTTTGGGTCAATTTCGGGTCACTGATTTCGGGTTGATTTCGGGTCATGGGTCGGGTCATTCGGGTCGGGTCATCGGGTCTGGGTCAAGATTGCCAGGTCTACCTGTGGGTATGACAAAAATTAACGTGGATGCACACTTAGCTGCTACTGGATACATTGGGTTAGGGGTTGTGATTAGAGATCATCAGGGTACTCTCGTAGCAGTTTCTCTGTTCGCAAATTCTCGGGAGTGTGGGAGGTTGAACCTGCTGAAGCTGCAGCAATAAGGTATGGGATGCAAATGGTTGTCAGACTCGGTTTTTGCAACGTATGGATTGAAAGTGACTCTCTCAGTATCACCAAGAAGATCAACGAGGATATACAAGGCCGCTCCCCTCTGTATTTACTAGTTGATGATATCTCTAAGCTTGCTTTGTCTTTTGATAATGTTTGTATTTCTCATGTAAAACAGGTAGGGAATACCGTAGCTCATCTAGTTGCCCGATGGGACACTTATGAAACCGATGAACTAGTGTGTATGGGCAATTTCCCCCAAAGTGTATCCACTTTGGTGGAGTATGACTTGATTTAATAATATTCCCTAACGTTTTTTTCAAAAAAAAAAAATTACCACATCAAATTAAAAATTATATAAAAACAAAAAAGTTCAAAATTCTAAAAACAAATTGAAAATAACGTTAAACTAACATGAAAAATAAAAAAATAAAAAATTGGTTTTTTCTTTTGAAACAATAAAAAAACTGATTTTAAACATTGCAAAAGAAAATAAAAACTATAATGATCTTTAAAAAATATGCAGATGAAATTCTAAACCACCATTTAAAAAGCAAATATCAGAATAATTAATTACTTGCTTCAAAAACTCATATTCAGTGAGGAGAAAAGGTAAGAGAAATAAAATTTAGACCTAAAATTGATTTGGGGTAGTAAGAAGGGAAGAAAGAATAAAGAAGAAGAAAATAATTGAATTTAAACCTTAGTTGAATTGGGAAAGAGAAAAAGACAGATAAAATTAAATAAAAAATAAAGATCGTTGGGATAGGGGAAAACCATCTAGAACGAATGATATTGATGTATAAATAAACTAAAGAATGGGAAGGGGAAATGAAGTGTTGTTTGAAAAGAAATTGAAGAAATTGAAAGGATAAACCTTATGGATGAAAAAAAATTGAAAAATTAATTAAAAGGATGACGTGGCACTCTAGATTTCTTTTAAACTTTCTTGTTTTAAATTAATAGTATTGATTTCTCCATCACATATTAAGACATTCCTCGACATATGTAAATTGTAATGGGTTTTTTGGTGGCATATTTTAGTGTAATTATGAATTCTAAATTTATACTACCTCCGTTTCATAAAATCTGCAACAAACTAGGATTTACGTTTCCCAGGACAAAATTTGATAAATGTAGTTTAACAAAAGTAAGGGTAGGTTATTAAGGGTTAATAAAAAAAAGTGGGATAATTTGATTAAGCCACCCACCAACAACCAAAACCTCTGCCCCCACCAAGCCACCTACCAAACTGCCCACCCTAGCACCGCCAACACCCACATTCTCCACCAGTAACATCACCTTTGAGGCTTTGACACATCCGACCACCCTACCACCACCAACACAACCACCGCAGGACCACCTTCGACACATTCGACCACCCTCTCACCACCACAAGATCCGAACCATGCCCAAAACCTACCCTACCCAACTCACAACCACCGAAAACCCACCGTGTAAACAACTCCTCACGCACCACCACAAGATCCAAAAACACCAAACTCCCCCCACGTTCTCACGCACCACCACCAAGATCCGAAAAAACCCCACCCCACCTAAGTCGCAACTACCAAAAACCCCAACCCACCTAATTACCCCATCACCATTATCACTTAGGTCTGAATTTGAAGGAGGACCGGTGACTTAGATAAGGGAAGCAAGTCCGATCCGAAACCCCATCACAATTTTCGATTAGATCTGAATTTCAAGGAGGACCGACGACTTTGATAAGGGAAGCAAGAAGTCAGCCGGCGACTTTGATCTGAATTTTTTATTAGCTCGTGCCAGCGAGTGTCACGAGTAAGGGGCGGCGACTGTCACGAGGTGGCGCTGATCTGAGTGGTGGTGGTAGACTGTATTTCTGGTGGTTTGAGAGGGATGAGAGAGAAAAGTGTGTTTCTGGTGGTTGAGAGGGTGGAGAGAGAAAAGTTGGTGATGTTGGTGGTGGATGTGGGCTATGAGGGAGGAAAGAGAATATGGGTTAGGGTTTAATTATAAATAAATTAATTTAGGTTAGTAAGTTAATAGGTGGTTTATTGAAGTTAAGTAAGGGTATGTTGGTAAATTTAAACAAAAAAATTTACTATATTAAGAAAGTTTTTTTTTTTTGCACATAATGTGTAGTTTCCGTTTTAGGAAATTGTTGCAGATTTTATGAAACGGAGGTAGTATATATCTTCTTCTCATTTTTCTCGTAGATCAAAAGCTTCTAAGGGAATAATTGATCAACAATTCATTCACAAGTCTGATAAACATTTCGTGCTTCAATTTATCAACAATGACAACAAAGCAAATATTTAGGGATGCGAACACGTTATTCATCAGGCAATAATTCATTCACAAAATACGTGAAGGTACAATTAAATACAATTACATACATACTCATTATACGACCTATGAAAACATGGAAATTTTATAGCATTACAAACTTAAAATATAATGAAAAGGATGAGTATACATAGGATGTATTTTTGAGTTGAAATAAGAAGGTAATTTAAGGGCACTTGCGTTCTCCACCGTGAGTTCTCTGGTTGTAATAGCAAGGGCACTCTTTTTCGTTACCAGAAGTACCCGGCGGAACACACCCACAACGAGCGCAACATGTACCACATGCCCTGTGACATAGATTTGGTCTGCTGCTTAACTTACACCTAGTCTCGCATGCTGCTCCACAATCTGCACACATATGCTTAATGAAATTACCCAACAATAATCCCCATTTTCAAAAGTTATCACAAGTAACATTTATTGTTTAGTCACAACTTAAAACGATTTTACCATGGTAAATGTAAGGTAAAAAAAATGAATAAAGTAAACAATAAGTCTTGTATAATAAGGTGAGTGTAAGAAAAAAAATAATAAAAATAAAAATGAATAAGAGCTAGAGAAAGCATACTTAATGGGGTTTGCTAAAACAAAATACAATGAAAATGCAAAAAAATTATTGTATGTATTAGCAAAAAAATATATATAGTCAAAGTTATTATATAGTGAAAAATTATAAAAGATACATTTATTTTAAAATTGAGGGAAATTCTTAACAGGAAGAAGAAAGAGAATATGTTAGTTTAATGAATGATTAAAATGGGGTGGAGTACTAGATATATACTTCATTTGTGTTAGGAAAATTAAGAAAATAGGGTTGTGAGACTTGTGTCTACAATTTAGCACTCATCTAATAATAAAATTATCTATTGTAAAAAAAAATAATAATAATAAAATTATCATGACAGCTTGTATAATTACTTACCTATACCAAGGAGAGACCTTTGAAGATTATTGTTAATCTCAATCTGCACATTAAGAAGAAGAGTAAATATCATATTAAGTTTCAAATTAAGTGTGATTAGTCATTTCTTGATAAATTAACAATATACTACAAACTTTTCAATAAAGTCAATAACAATAATATAAACTTGTTAAGGGGTCATTTAGTAGGAGCAACATCAAGTAGTGTTTGGTCTAGTGGCAATGATTATATTTCGGGATCAATCACCACTAATTAAAGAGAACCAATTGGTAGGGACTTCCTTTCTCTTATCCCCACTCTCAAGGGGTCTTACATGCCCGTTAACTTGAACTGGGTTGACCAGTTTTCCCCTAGATTCAGACCTTGGACGTGGTATGGCTTTGACGGCTATTCACGCATATTCTTAGCGTAAACATAATACGGAGCTCAACCCCAATTCTAGTAACAATTAGTATTTATGGTATGGTTTTTTTTTTACAGGATTTATGGTTAGGTTACCATAGATAAATAAGATAATATATCATAATTTCATGTTTGTAGAGTACTTAATGAATGAAAAATTATGCATTATTATTGTTTCAATTAATGAAAACTTTTTTATGGTGAGAACTACGCAATGTGCTTGCTACAACTTTAATTTATATGGTACATTTTCTTACATGACATGCATATTTACATTTTTAATTTTTAATTTGTTTACCTTATAAATTTATTAGTTATACCTTAACATGTTAAATATTAAAATTCACCATATTTTTTGTAATATTGTACAAAAATATTGGACATGTAAACACAAACAAACAAAGAAAAAGAGAGGTGTACGGGCGTTTACATGAATAATGAAGAGATGATTATTTAATAAAACACAAACAAACAAAAAAAAAAAAAAAACAAAGAAAGTTTCTACGTAGTATTAAACTATAAACAATTTATATATTTACCATTTCTTGAGCTTGAACCACATTAAGAACAACAAAAGCAAGCACAAATGTAGCAAGGAAAAGCTTGGAATTTGCCATAGCTACAACTTTGTTTGTTTGTTTATCTTGTAATTTTTTTTTTTCTTTAGGATAGTAAATAGGAGAATTAAATACTTTGATTAGATTGTTCAAAAAAAAAAATACTTTGATAAGATGTGTTAATTTGGAGCTTTAGATAAATTTGGTACTGCTTAGTTTAATGCGATGACTAGAAATGTATGGAGGGGATGTATTTATAGAGAAGATAAATATATAATCTAATCTCATGTAAGAGTGAATCCAGCTACAAATTGAAAGCATGCACAGCATAATATTTTACATTACAAAATAATGTGAGTTGTATAGCCAAAAAAAACAATAACTAATGTGAGCTGTATAGCCAAAAAAAAAGGTGACTTTAGTAGTAATGAAAATTAAAGATAGATAATATATATTGGAAGCTTTATCATATTATTAATAAAAGTGTAAATATAGCTTTCTTCAAAAAAAAAAAAAACAAAAAAAAACAAAAAAAAAATGTAAATATAGCCTCCACATATAAAAAGGTATAAAAACTAAATAAAAAATAAAGGTTAAAAAAATTATGATTTTCAAATAGATAGAAAGAAAGATAATTTTAAGGAATTTTCATTATAAAAAAATTTAATTACAAAAATTAAATTGTACTACTCCGTATTTTAACTATATACTAAAATCAATCATCAATAACTATATATATATATATATATATATATATATATATATATATATATATATATATATATATATATATATATAGGAGGGATCCGGTGAGAATAGGTTCTTATGTGAGAATATTCCTAATATATGAGAACAAATCTAAGCCTTAGGATCAAACGATCTCAACGGCTCTAATAAAACCAAACTTTTCATCAATATACTTGTTAATCAGAAAAACAGAGTGAAGAAACTACGAGCTTCAATTTCAATGAGATTCAAGGATTTCGAACACAATTCCGTTCGATTTTTGTCAGATTTCAGCAATAGTAAGAATCAACGAGTTTCATAGATTATTCGGGTAAATAATCAACAAAAGTTCTGTTAGTTTTTTCCTTAATTTTTGTAAGTAATTTTCGAATTTCATGGTTTGAATGTTGGATTTTTGTTATAATTTTAGTAATGAATAATCTTAATTTAGTATTTTCGTTAAAATTTACAAATTTGATGTTCTAATTTTCGATTTTAGTGTTCTGGAAAATTTAAGTGTTCTTATGCGATTTTTCGATTTTTTGCTTCAATTTTTTGCTGCGATTTTGTTTGATTATGTTTGCTGCGATTTTGTTCGATTTACTATATGATTTTGTTTGATTATGTTTGCTGCAATTTTAATTCATATGATTTTGTTTGCTGCGATTTTGTTCGATTTTTTATTATGTTTGCTGCGATTTTGTTCGATTTTCGATTTTAATTCTTAGTATTTTTGCAGGTTCATTATATTAGGTTGACAATTATGGATGAACAAGCAAATAATGAAGCAGGTTTTTTTTTTTTATTAACTTGGATATTTTTATGTACAACATGTTGCAAAATCGTAGAACATGGTTGAAAATTTTAGAACATGTGTGTATAAAATTAGAATATGTTGGTAGGAAAGCAACAGAAAGTAATAAGTGAGAATGTTGATGAGTGAAATTTGATAAATAATTTGGATCATTTGATAAATAATTTAGAACAAATGAGTAAAATTTTGGAACATGTTTTGATTTTTCTAATGGGATGTCTAAAATCATATGTTCTAAATATTTGATCATGTGTTCTAAAGTTTTAGTCTAATGTTCCAAATTATGCTGTAAATAATTAATTAAACTTTAGTCTTAAATCTATGCTCTAAATAATGTCTTATGTTCTGATTTAATCATGTGTTCTAAATATTAAATCATATGTTCTAAAATTTTATTCATTTGTTCTAAATTTTTTTTAACTTGTTAAATTTACTTTTGTGCAAAAATAATTAACAACAACAAACAACTTGATAATGTTTCTAATGCCAATGCAAGTGTGCCAACTACTCCTACAGTAGTACCTATATTAACTCCCGGAGGAACAAAAGAATGGTTTCCTATGTGCCGCAATGAGTTAAAACCTGCAATAGGAATGAAATTTAATAGTGTTGATGAGGGTGTTGAATTTTATAAATCATATGCACTTGTTGCTAGTTTTAACACTAGGAAGTCTACCAGTAAAAGGCATATAGAGAAAAAATTGGCATTCCAATATGTCTTATGCAACAAAAAGGGTTTCAAGGAGAAGAAAAAGCCTATTGTTGAGAGAATTCTAAATGATAAAGAAGGACAAAGCAAGGAAGGCAAGATTTCAATAACAAGAAAAAGATTAGTCACTCGTGTTGGGTGCAAAGCTTTTATGGTTCTAAAACATTGTGAAGATGAAAAGTATATAGTAACACAGTTCCACGAAGGACATACTCATCCCCTCTACACACCAAGTTGTAATCTATTTCAAAAAGAAGGAAGAAAGATGAACATTTTGCACAAAAAAATGATTGTTGATAACTCTAAGGTAACTCTTTCATAAATTTTTACAGTGCGTTCTAAAATTTTACTCATATGTTCTAAAATATTATTCACATGTTCCAAAAGTTCTTAATATGTTCTAAAACTTTTTTGTGCCTATAATAGGTGAATATTGGCCCTGTAAAAACTTTTCGAATGATGAAGGAAATACTTGGAGGTTATGATAATGTTGGAGCTTCCAAGCAAGATTTTAAAAATTTTCACAGAGATTTAAAAACATTCATTCAAGGTTCCGATGCTCAAATGTTTGTAGACAATTTCACAAAGAAAAAATTGATGTGGAGTGCTTTTTTTTTTTATTTTGAAGTTGATGATGATTCTTGTCTTTCTAGAGCTCTTTGGGCGGACCCTATTTGTAAAAAAATTATGCTCTCTTCGGCGATATGATATCTTTTGACACCACTTACCAAACTAACAGGTGATTCATATAATTCATGTGTCTTATTTTCTGAATTATGTTTTGAATGTTCTAAAAATTTCTTCTACTGTTCTAAATTTTAAGTCTAATGTTCTAAATTATGTTTTATATGCTCATAAGATTTAGCAACTAACTTTTCATTCAAATGTTTTAATAGTAATTCTTATGTTCCAATTACAATTAAGTAAAATATTAATCTTGTGTTCTAAAATTTTAATCATACGTTCTAAATTTTTATTCACATGTTCTAAAATTTGCTTTTTATGCTATAAAGTTTAAGTCTAATGCTCTAACTTATGTGTTATAAACTCATAACCTTTATGCTCTAAATTATAACCTTTATGTGTTATAAACTTTAGTCTTAAATCTATGTTCTAAATAATTTCTTCTGTTCTGATTTAATCATGTGTTCTAAATATTTAATCACAAGTTCTAAATTTTTATTCATATGTTCTAAATTTTTATTCACATGTTCTAAAACGGTAGTGCTATATTTTGTATGTAAATTATAAAATTTATGTGTTATAAACTTTAGTCTTAAATCTATGCTCTAAATAATTTCTTCTGTTATGATTTAATCATGTGTTCTAAATATTTAATCACGGGTTCTAAATTTTTATTCATGTGTTCTAAATTTTTATTCACATGTTCTAAAACGGAAGTGCTATATTTTGTATGTAATGAAATTTGATCTTCATGTTATAAACAGGTACAACATGGTATTTACTCCATTTACAGGGGTTGATCATCACAAGAGTTGTATCACTTTTGCGGCTGGTTTCATAGCAAAGGAAGATATTGAATCATTTGAGTGGCTTTTCAAAACATTTCTTAAGGCAATGGGCAATAATGAACCTAATTGTCTTATCACAGATCAAGATCCAGCTATGAAAATTGTTGTTAGTAGAGTGTTTCAAAAATCTGAACATCGGTTCTGTATGTGGCATATAATGAAAAAGTTGCCAGATAAAGTAGGGTGAGCGATCACAAAGGAGGAAATAGGATTCCTGAAAAAAATATGTGCCTGTGTTTGGTATCTTGATATTGAGCCAGCTGAGTTTGAAGAAAGGTGGAATAAGGTGATGGTTGAGTTCGAATTGGAAGGTAATGAGTGGTTGTACGAGATAAGGGATAAGTGGATTCCGGCATATTTCAGAGATGTGTTCCTGGGAGGAATAATGCGTACCACGTCAAGATCAGAAAGTGAAAATAACTTTTTTTGCTCCTTTATCAATCCTCACGTTTCACTTGTTGAGTTTTACATGAGATATGAAGCTGCAATTGATGCCCAGAGACACGCTCAAGGTCAAAACGACAATGATTCAAAGCACAAATACCCAGAGTGCAAGACACCACTAGGGATAGAAAAGTATGCCTCAACCATATACACTATTTCTGTTTTTATGACTTCCAATATGAGGTAGAAATGGCTTGTTTTTCTTGTGGGTGTGAAGAGTTTAAGAGAGAAAATGGATTAGAAATTGCAAAAGTAAGTGAAGGGGGTCGGAGTAGAACATTTGATGTTGTGTTTAATCCGACTAACCAAGAGACAACATATTCTTGCAAGTTGTTTTATAGGCAAGGAATTCCATGCAGGCACATGGTTTGGGTTTGGAAAGCAAAACGGTTTGAAATTATTCCTGAGCAATATATTCTAAACAGATGGACTACTATGGCAACGAAAAGACCAATATTTGACCTGGGAGGAAATCTGTTGGAACAATGTGCCAATATAATCGACAAGAAAAAGTTGTTGAATGAGTTGTGGTCAGAGATACATAATTGTGTTAGTTTGGCAGAGGGTGACGATGAAGATATTAAAGACCTTGTGATTAATCTTCGAGGATTGAGGTTGGATTTGGAAGCTAAAAGAAATGCAAGAAGTAATGGTGAAAGGAATGCTACTAACAAAGAAAAAGACATAGAACTATTAATTGGAGCTAGTGTTCCAAGTGAAATATCTATCAAACCTCCAAAAATTTCTAAGAACAAAGGTACAGGAGTTCATATGTCAAATGTTGAAACGAGATCTGTAGAGACTTCAAATGTTGAAACAAGATCTGTAGAGACTTCAAATGTTGAAACAAGATCTGGAAGTGGGAAAAGACTAAAGGGGGACAAAGAAATGGCGGTAGAACAAAATCAGAAAAAAAAAGAGGTTATGCAAAGGTTGTGGGGAATTGAGTCACCACGATATTCGAAATTGTCCAAAAAAAGTTAGATGATACTTAATAATTTTGGAACATTTTTTTTGAATTTGTGTATTGAATAACACTTTTTTCTATTATAGAAATGATTACAGTTTAGAACTTATGAGTTTAATTTAGAACATATGTATTAAAATTTAGAACATATGTATTAAAATTTAGAACATATGACTAAAATTTTAGAATATATGAGTTATAATTAGTAATCATGTGTGGTGTATGGTTCCAATGCGATTTCAAAATTTTGATTTAGACCATATGATTAAAATTAATCACTTAAATTCTTAGTTCTTAAATACATGAGTAATATTTTGACAATAGTATTTAGAGCATATGATTAAAACTTTAGAACATATGACTAAAAATTTAGAACATATGAATAAAAATTTAGATCATATGAATTATAATTAGTATTTAGAGCATATGACTAAATGTTTAGAACATATCATTAAAAATTTAGAACATATGAGTTATAATTAGTATTTTGATCACAAGAAAGACAAGTCAAGCTAATATATTCGTACAACCTTTTAGAAAAATAGTTTGCGAGTGAAGGCTTACAATTTAAAGTACTATACAAAATTCTACATGCTATTTCTAAAATTATATTACAAACTATTTTCTTTAGCCCATTTCCATGATCTTGAAGTTATCTCATGATGTAGCTCATTTTCCTTGTGTGATAATATCTTAGCACAAAAATCCACCCTCAATTTCTTCGTTTGATTGATCTGCAATATAATAAGATAAAATCATTAGACTTTGGTATCCGCTATCTCACTTTTTACATCATTAAAAAAAAAAAAAGATTTACACAATTTGGAACATATGTATGAAATTTTAGAACATATGTATAAAAATTTAGAACATATGTATAAAAATTTAGAACATATGAACATGAGTAATACTATAAAACAAACTTACATCATTCAATTTTATTCCGCTTTCCCAATTGGTATCTTTCTCACCATGATAGGTTTCCATGTGTTTAAGCAAAAACACGCCGCAATCATCATTGTTATCATTTGTCCTCCAACTCATTTTTAACGTCCTAGTTTTGAAACTAGAAACCTCTTGATCGCATTTTGATCTCTTGGTTGACAAGAACATGGCAAAAGCCCTCAACTAAAATTAAACATTAAAATAAGTATTAGAAAATATTAAGAATGTATAAGTACTATTTGGAACATGAAATTTTTTAAAAACATCTGATTTAGAACATATGAGTATAATTTTAGTACATCTGAGCTAAACTTTAGAACATTGAAATAAATGTTTAGAAAATCTAATTCTAAACACAAGTAAATGAGACAGATAGATATTACCAAATTCTTCGGTTTGTTTTTGAATTTGTGCCAAAAAGAATTTTTATATTCCAAATATCTTTTGTCAATGACGTCGAGAGTCTTGCTAAGAAAATTCACACAAAGCAGGTAATAATGTGATGAAGATACAACTGGAAAAAATACCTGCATATAATAATAGATCATGAAATCGAAATAAGAAAAAAAGAAGAAAGCTTATAAAGAAGAAAATCTATATTCAAATTCTTTTGGATTTCTTAATGTCTTACCAAGTGAACTCTATCAAAGTTTTGCACTTTAGAGTGCTTCATCTCTTTTTTCAACCTTTCAAATAAAGTATGATATCTATCTTGAATTTTCACAGTTGGAGAAAAGTGATAATTCGTACACAAAATTTCCTGAAATCATGTAAACATAAGTTATGAAATCTCAATTTATAAAATGAAAGAAGCCAAGTTCAATATTAAGAACCATACATAAGCTTGCGTTGAAAAAAACAATCTGTTTGTTGACCCTGGGGTTCGTCTTCTGTTTTCAATGTTCAATATGAATGACCAAGCATCAACAATGTTATTAAACACATGATTGTTCGCTGCAAGGCTTGACATCTCATCTCTACGGATTGTAGTTTGACCATCATCATATAAAATCTCACTACAAACATAAAAACAAATAGCATTAAATGTTATAATATAAGATTAAACTTTATAATATATAAATACTAAGTTAGAACATATGAATACTAATTTAGAACATATGAATACTAATTTAGAACATATGAACACTAAGTTAGAACATATGAACACTAAGTTAGAACATGTGAATACTAATTTAGAACATGTGAATACTAATTTAGAACATATGAACACTAAGTTAGAACATGTGAACACTAATTTAGAACATATGAACACTAATTTAGAACATATGAATACTAATTTAGAACATATGAATACTAAGTTAGAACATATGAATACTAATTTAGAACATATGATTAATAAATCAGAATACATGACTAATTATTTTAAAATTACTAAGTAAATTTAGAGCTTACTTAGGTAATCCATTGGCAAATGCATACTCTTCCATTCTCTTCTTGTGTCCATCAACCTTTTTGAATATGTTGTCATACTGAACCATAAAAGGCGAACGAATACAGTTTGGAAGGTTTTCAGGACATATTTTCTCCCTTTTTCCTACATTTCCTTTCCTGTAAATATATAGGTGAACGAATACAAATATTTAATGAGCAGAATATTTCAAAAAAATATACCACAAATTCTAAAATTATAAATGTATATATATAATTAGTGTCCCAAAACAAACAAACTAATAATTAGTGTTCTTAAAAAATAAAATATTAATTCATCAATAATTAATAGTGTCCCTAAACATAACTACATTACTCCTCCATCTTATCATCTTCTTTCTCATCATTGTTCTTGTTCTTCTCTTCATTTGCTTGAATATTGTTCTTCTCTCCATGAACATATTGTTGGACTTTAGCACCTGAGCATGCTCCTCCTAAAATTGAAGTGGAAAACCCTTGAGTTTGAGGAGGAGGAGGAGGAGGAATCCCTTGAGTTTGAGAAGGAGGAGGAGGATGTAAAGGAGGAGAAGGTCCTTGAGTTTGAGGATGAGGAAGAGGAGGAGAAGGTTCTTGAAATTGAGGAGGAGGAGGAGGAAGAGGGGAAGAAGGCTCGTGAGTTTGAGGAGGAGGACGAAGAGGGGAAGAAGGCTCATGAGTTTGAGGAGGAGGAGTAGGTGTTTGAGAATGAGAAAACAAATCAAAACTCGGAGGAGTCATCTCTAAAGGTGTCTTTTTCTTCCCTTTGAACTTTTCCCATGATCTTTTCATAACATCATCTAACTCCTTAATGAAAGCTGGTTCGTCAAACAAATGCTTGTCTTGACTTAGAATGGAGGGGTTGTCCTTTTGTTTTTCTTCCCTTCTCATGGAATACTTATTCCAAATATTCTGAATAAAAGTGTTCATATCAGATGCTTCTTCTTTAGCGAATATTTCATTCGCCTTATCCAACATGGCATGTATCTCACTTAAATTCTCAGCAAGCTTCTTAGCCAATGTTCCGAATTTTTGAAGGAATTCCTAACAAACAAAAGTTATATAAATTTAGAACAATTGAATAACCATGTAAAACAACTGATTTAAGTTTAGAACATCCACTTTATATATTTAGAACATATGACTAAATATTTAGAACATGTGGGTATATATTTAGAACATGTGGGTATATATTTAGAACATATAACTAACTATAATAAGACTTTAGTTTAAAACATGTTCCAAAAAATATGCATACCAGCATTTCATTAGAACCACTAACATCACTTCCACCAAGTTCGGGATCTCCAGCCACTTGTGATACATTGTTATCATGCCTATCAACTTCCATTCTATCAAGTACATGTCCCTTTCCAAATCCTCTTTTCATTTCCAATTTCATCCGTTCCTTGATTAAATCTTTCTTCCAAACAGAAAGGAGTGGGAATTGCCTTGGATTACTTATTTTAGATCTTTGCAAACGATCAAAATAGCATATCTAATACAAATATACAAAAAAAAAATGCGTTAAACAAGGACAAATTTAGAAAAAGACAAATTAATATAAAAATGTACCATATATTAAAAAAAAAAAGAAATTACCATCAAGAAAGGCAATGGACCGGTGAAGAAAGCTGAACCACCTTGCCATTCCGATACAGACGACTTTAAACTCCTATAAACATATTCACACCAATCCAAACATTCGATCTTCTTTGTATCCATGCAACTATACAAGAACCTGTAATTTAATGATGGGTTGGCAGTGGATCTCATACAACAATTGACAACAGAAACTACAAAATGCCAAATGAATTCATCACACACAGGTTGCTTCTTTAACTCTTCAATTCGATTAATAATCACAGAGTTTGATGGACTTCCACAACTTAACCCAAAATAAGATCTCCATTGTCTAATAAAATCAACCTATTCTTCATCCTCCTCTTGCTTCTTCTCTTTAATAATTTCTCCTCCCATCGGCAATCCATAAACCAAATGTATGTCTACAGGTGTAATTTCAATCTCTTGGTTCCTCTCAAGAACTAAGACACCCTATCACAGTCAAAACTCGACACAAGCTTAGAGCAAAATACAGATTTATGTGCATCTAGATCCAAATCTAAGAAACCTCCAAAGCCAATTTTTCTAATAGTCGCCTTATGAGATTTTGGCAAATCTTTAAGCACGGTGTTCATAAAATTCTTGGGAGTAATTCGTTGACTTAATTCTCTACATTCCATTTGATCTGCATGAACAACTTCAATATCATCATCAGAATCACTCTCATCAACCTTTCTTTTCCTTTTTTTCCCTCTGCCTTCCTTCTTTGGTTCTTTCTTCATTGCTTTGTTTTTCGGAACATCTTTAGCTCTAACTTTAAGTTTCCCCTTAATTTGATCACCTTCTTTATTATCTACATTGGTACTCTTGTTTGCATTTCCAGAAGATGTTGTAGCAAACTGATTAGAGGTTGTAGCACCATCAACACCAACAAAATTATCACTGCAAGTCATAGACATAAAACATATATAAAGGTTAGAACACAAGGGAATAATTAGAACAGAACATATGTGTAATAATTTAGAACATTTGTACAAAAATTTAGAACATATGAGTAAAAAATATAGACATAAACTTGTAGCAAAAATTAACAATTGAACTGTAATGTGTACATACTGCAATACTGAACAAAATTCAAGAGGAAAACATAAAAATGTGAGTAAAATAAGAGTTAAAATTAGAATTAAATTTAGAACAAACAAGTAAAGTTTTAGAACATATGAGTAAAATTTTAGAACATATCTAACATGCATAAAAAATTAATCAATATCCATTGATGATTACAAACCTTTGAATGTGATCGTTGTTTATAGCTTCCTGTAACGATGACTCCACAATTGGACTTCTAGACCACTGTACATCATTTTTTACAGCTTCATCACCATCACTTTTTTTCTTTTTGTCAAGTGCTTAATCACCATCACTATTCACAAAAAAAAAAAGAAGAGTAGGTTAGAAGCTTAAAACATGCTAGAATTTATTTTTCAACTCCTGTATCCTCCTAATACTACTCTTCCAGGCCAGTTTCATATAAATTATCTCGTATATTCTCAATATATCATTTTTGATAAGAATAATCTAGTTTCAACCTAGCATTACAGAAGCAAGAAATAATCATGGTCTATTTTGTTCAATAAAAATCAGCAATAAATTTACTCCATATACAAGGTGACCAGCTACAAAAATTCATGGACAATTATTTAAAATGGAGTGAACATGTATTCAATTCTCTCATTCCTTTCCCTCTGCACACTAATTACAAAACTATTTTTCCAGAATGTCTATTTACATTACACGAAAAAGTCCTTTTTTTGCTATCTAAACACGCATCGAAGATTGTCTAAGAGGATGAGCATCTCCATGGTAGAGACCAAGATGGTACATAGCCTTGACAATCAATTCTCTCAACTGAGGATACTGAGCAGTAAGATTTCGATCAGTCCCCTCAAGGGCGGTCAAAAGCCTAGCTCGTTGTAATGCCTCGCTGTTGCCAGCGTTTATAGCAAGGTGAAAAAGGAGAACCAATCCATTTACTTGAGCCCTCTCGCTTTCCCTAAGCAATCTCAACAAAGGAACTACCCAATCAAACTCAATGATCGCCTTAGAATGTTCATGACACAGGAAATTCTACGGATCAACAAACTTAGCTAGAGCAACAGCAGCCTCAATACCAACGTCATGATTATTACTGCTAAGCTGCTCAACCAAAGGCCCAATTACTCGAGTCTCTTTAGCACAGAATGTCCTAGACAGACACCCAATCGATTTTATAGCAGCAATTTGCAAAACAGGATCACTAGACTCTTTGATCACCCTCAAAAGCTGCACCACCACTGCCTTACCAGCAGGGGAGCTCGTCTTGAAAGCCGACCTGCGAAGGTCAGCATTCGACTCAACAGCCAATGTGATCTCCATTACAGCCATTACACAATTCTTCCTCAACTCCCCAGTTTCCCTCTCAATCAACTTAGCCAAACTAAGCAACCCTTTTGTCTAAGTAATCCTATGACTGTTTATAACACTATCCTTAGCAAGCATCCAAAGTGCCTTAGCACAACTAATCTTAAGCTCCATCTTAACCTCAGCACTCTCATTCCCTCTTCCCTTCCTAGTCTGCCCTCCTTTACTAACCCCAACATCCGAATACAACGATGAAAACGACGAATAACTCGAATTCAACATCCGAATACAACTTAGCCAAATTAATGCTTGAAGATTACATAGCACTTCAAATTCACATTGAAGCTGCTGCTGCAGGTGGACGCTGCTGCCTGCCGAGGCTGCTCCAGGCAAGGCTGCAGCTGCTGCTGCCTGCCGAGGCTGCTGCTGGCAAGGCTGCAGCTGCTGCTGCCCTGCCAAACCGCTGCAAGCTAGGCAGTAGCTGCTGCTGCCCTGCCGAGTTTCGAGTTTTTCTAGTTGCTATGTTTCTTTTCCAAGTTATGCATGTCTAAAGCTAGTCCCTTACTCTTTAATCATAATAGCCTATATACAAATCACTGCCTCAAGTTAAATTTCAGGTTAGCATTTTATCGAACATGTTATAAGCATCCAAAAATGATTTGTAAAAACCTAAAAAATTTGACACCAAAACCAATGGAAGTTAACTAATACTGTATATGCTTAATAAATTCGAGCCAAACCCTCCCAAATCGAGCAAAACTGAGCCCTAATTTTTGTGTTCAAACATGATAATTTAAAAATTAAACCAAAATCAAATAATTAAACCCTAATAAAATCGCTACTTACTGATTTGATGGACAAATGGCTTGCATTGGAGATTTATCCATACATTGTGAATCGATTGATTTACAAAAAAATTAACGAAAATTAACAAAAAAAAGAGGAGAAAAATGTGAAAAAATATAATCAAAATTCATAAACATAAACTTATTACCTTCTTTCATAAGTAACAATTGGAGATGTTGGTAGAATTTGATTCGAATCCATATTCTGATTCACGAAGTAGCATGCATGAACTAGGGTTTAGAGAGTGGATGGAATTTAGAGAGAGAAAAACCTAATTTTAGAGAGAGAAAAAAATCAGTGAAAGTGAAAAAAGAGAAGGGGGTAAATCAGCAAACAAAATTACAATTTTGCCATTACTGTAGAATGTTTTGGGCGGTTAGATTGAATCTAATCTACGGCTAAGATGTATTCTCATATAAGTGAGTTTCTCATATAAGACCTAAATTCTCATAAGAGTCTTCCCCTATATATATGTTAAATTGTGACTCGAAATCTAGTAGGGCTGAATTTGAACGATTATATCTCTCAAACTACAACTGATTTTGAGGTGATTCAAATTGGAGGTGATAGCTTGGTTCAAGATCTTTCCAACGATAGGTCATATGCCCAATTCCGATAAGAAACGAGAAAGTTATGACCGTTTTACAAAAACCTGACGAAGCTGGAAATTTGCAACGAGGCTGCGAGCTATAGCTCTATGCGAGTGAGCTATAGCTCGGCCCTAAGAGGACTTGCGGCAGGTATGAGCTAGCTTCCGAGCTATAGCTCGGTAGTTAGGTTATTCTAGGATAATTTATGGAAAATTTCCTAAAATTATATCTTTTCTATGACGGCTATTTGAGTATACTTGGGGAACAATCTTAGGGTTTTATTAGGGTTTCCTTGTGTTATAAAAGGACCCTTTAGTTGATCATTTAGATCATACCTTTTTTTAGCCATAAGATTTAAGACTCCTTATATTATTCTCTTGTTTCTTTCTCCATTATAGTGAAGAAGCTTTCAAATCCCCCACCCGTGGATGTAGGTCTATTTTGACCGAACCACGTAAATCCTTGTGTTGTTTGTTTATCTTCTTTATTGTTTTTATCGTTCTTAATTTCATTGACTTGTTCCGCATTAATCAAACACAACTACACCATAATTTCCTAACAATATATATATATATATATATATATATATATATATATATATATATATAATAAAATTCAATTAAAGAAACAAATATTATTTACAAAAATAATTTCTTAACCTTATACAATATAATTACTTAAAATAAAAAAAGATTTGACATATATCTTTAATACATTATTTATATAACTATAAAAAAAAATTCTTAACATAATTTTGCTAATTTTCTACGTCATTAGTTTAATAATGGTTGCTCATTTTCTACGTCATCAGTTTAATAATGTTTATTTAAAATTACCGTGCATGACACGGGAAGTAACCTAATACAAGTATAATATTCTTGTTTTCTTTTGTTCATCTTGGATATATAACTCATTAGGAAATTTCGCAAACATTTATTAACACATTTTGTAGACTAACTTATACCTTATTTTATTTTAAGGTTCCAATTATTTAAGTATTGTGTGCATAGTTATTTACGTTTTTG